AACCAGCTCCTTTCTGCTTCCTTCTATTATATTGTTAAGTTTGGAGTTCTGTCCTCAACAGATAGCGAGTTATCTTTTATTACCGAGTTTTTTATGAGGTAGGAAATAGAACTTGAACAACAGTGTTTGTCTTGAAATGGGGCATCTTTGAGTACCAAGTCTATGCCTGGTATTTTTGAAGGCGCGTGATTTGTTATTGTATCGTTTGTACAGGCATGCCTAGGGGATGTTGATCATCACAATATAAAGCGAGTCACATGAATTGTTTTTGTTCCCTAGTGAGTGTACAGGAGCCCTGGTGCTGTAGTGGTTACATGTTGGGCTGCCATCCCCAAAGTAAGCAGTTTGAAACCACCAACTGCTCCTCAGGACAAAGATGAGGTTTTCTACTCCTGTAAGGAGTTATAGTCTTGGAAACTCACAGGGGAAGCTCTACCTTGTCCTGTAGGATTGGAATTCACTTGCTGGTAATGAGTGCGGGCATATACAAGTTATGCAGACACTGCAGTCTATTAAGTGAGCAAGAACATTGTGGAAAAGTTGGAAATAGTGTGAAAATGACCAAAATGTAACACAGAGACATGAAATGAATGCATGCTGTTGGGAAAATGGTGCCAATAGATTTGCTTGATGCAGACTGGTCACAAACATTCGCTTGTTAAAACAGACAAATTAACAAACAAAAACCCAGGATCTCCAAAGCGCACTGAAGTGCAGCACACTATAAGGAGGCATGCCTGTGTTCCTGTACAGACGCCTCGTCCTCTGCTGCCCTCGTGTGGAGATGCTAGCTGCTGAGCTGCTCTGTCCCTCCTGCCCTCCAGTCAGGGCACGAGGCCAGTGATAGAGAGGAGCCGTGTGCCCTGCAGAAATCGTTCAGATTAAAACTAGATCACCTTTCTGTAAGCATTAGGTACCCCAATGGCATCGTGTTACTCATTGGGCTGCGATCCTCAATGTCAGCGGTTCAATCCCACCAGTCATGCCATAGGAGAAAGAGGGGGCTTTCTGCTCCAGTAAAGAGTTACAGTCCCAGAAACCCACAGGGGCAGCTCCATCCTGTTCCCCATGGTTGCTATGTGTCAGCAACGACGCCTATCAGTGAGCTTGGCTTTCGTTTGTTTGTATATTTTTTGTAAGCATAAGAGCTCACAACCACAAAATGTATGTGTTAGTGTGATATGTTACTTTGTATTGTTTTCTAGAAAGTTGTCTAAGTCAGCCCCCCACCCCCAATCAAACTATTGAAATTAAAGATTTTTAGAAATGATTTTTTTGTGTGAATTAGTTGTGTGTAAGGGGGTTACATGTCAGACTATCTCCCCTGCATTCAACAATTTCAAACTACTCACCAACCACCCCCTCCCCTGTATTCTACACCCACTTAAGCCCACCCCTGAGGGCTCACCTCCCCCTTGTGGGCCCCCATCTTCCCTTTTACTCCAGTCAGCATTTGCCAACCCCGGTGTCTGTTGCTTCATCTTTCCTCCCCACATCCCGCATCTCTCCCTTTGGTATTCAGGTCCCTGTCTTGGTTTTTGCCCTTACAGTGGTGGTCTCAGACAATAGCTGCCTTTTGTGATTGACTCACTTCACTCAGCATCACGTTCTGCAGGTCCGTCCATGTCATGAGGGGCTGCGTGGTCTCGTCCTTGTTTTCAGTGATGGGTAGTGTTCCACCGGGTGTATATGCCAACGTTTCTCCATCCATTCTTCTACGATGGACATTCAGGCTGTTCCTAGCTGTCACTGTTGTGGACCGGGCTGCCATCTGTGGGAGTAGTCCCGATGTCTGTGTGTCCTGTGGCTCTTATTTCTGAGGGTCTATGCCCAACAGAAAAGACCTGCTGTCATATTTATTTCCCCTCACTTCACTCAAATAACTCTAAA